GAAATATGCCAGCTTCCTCCTTCAAATCCGTACCATTCTGCCCACCTTTAATTTCATAGTAAGGAGGGGTTTTTCCTCCGGAGACTCCTCCCTCGGTATCTCCTTCATCACCATAGAAGGTCTAGAATGGAACTAAATGTTTTCCTTTTCTACATTAAAGCTGAGTTTGTAGACTACATAAAGCCATGTCATGGAAACCACTGAAAATAGGTTCCCCATGGATAGACTCCAGCAGTGAAGAAATACGATATATCCATGCAGGTCGCATTCAATTGTTTTTGATCAACTCCAGAGGAGATACAGTTTTGCCGGAAAATAGTGACATGACCAAGGCCATCCTTTTGATCTATGCCTGTATGCATTAAGAATACAACATGGGAGTCTAGCACAGAGAGAATTTTTAAATGGCTTCCCTACTACTACAGATGAAACACATAAATTGGATCTAAAACTTTCGCATTTTCTTGCAGTCTTATACGATGTCAGACAAATGCTCCCTATGAAAGGTGCATGGGGATCGGCATTAAAAGGCAGCGAAGTATTGATAGCAGTCTGCAAGTGATAAAGGCAACACGATCAAATACAACAAAGCTGATCTGGAGGCAATTATCAGAAATACTTGTCCACTCAACGATGGCAAAGATGAGGTCAGTTCACAACACAGGAGCACAAAAACATGCACAAACCAATAAACAGTTCACTCTGGAAAACTCTTACGATTACTGGAAATAAAAGCAAATGGGCATGAAAACACATTAGAATATGAATCAGGAGTTCCACTCTCTCTCTCGTTCAATTTGCCTGATTCATAAACTGGTTTGCATGTAAAACCAAAACAGGATGTATCAAAGCAAAGCTTCCTGCGCCGTACTGTATCTGTAGGTCAATAAAAAGTGGTATCATCAAACAGGTAGATTTTCCTACAAGGATTATTACCTGTGCATAACTTCATATACAAAGACCACTCAGATATTTATTTTGCTTTGCATGTTTGTTAAGGAACTGCTCTTGGGAATTGGCAAGGCGTTAACACATATTGAACGTAAAATACAGACAGAAACACAACCTTCTTACATAGGGAGAAACGAATACATTTTCACTGTAATATCTTGTGGGACAATGGTCCCTCTGAAGTTACCTATTTACCTTGACATATGTGTGTGGATAATTCAATATTGCAAATCTGTAAAAGGCAACTGAGAAGGAGTTATTTTAAGGCACAGAAGCATATTGGCAATTCCTAATAACTTGAATTAAGCTACATTGGGATTTTACACAAATGGAGTAAATTAAATGAAATAATTGCAAGGTTTGAGCTGCCTTTGAATTAGTTTGAATCATTCAAGTAATTTAACATTCATGGGTATTTGAATATGTAGAAATAATAATAAAAAGGTGGGCTGGTATTTTAATACATACATTTGCAAATTGTTGATAATAACGGTCTATATTTTTTATTACTGCTATGGTTACCATTATTTTAAACACACTGTACGCTTCAATCTGGCGATTTCAATTGTGTAAAATTCATTTACTTCTGTTGGGAAAAAAAAATATTCCACGCAAATAGCTCCCATGAAGTTAAAAAGGAACATGATTCACATGAGAATGAAACAGCTTTTGAAGCTGAATTTCCTTTGCAATCAGAAATACTTTTATTCAACTTTTCATCAAGCCATGTGTCATATTGAACTTCTTACGTTAGCTGTGCTAAGGTTTATCACATACTTCTTATTGGAAAGCATGTTTGATTTGTTCCTTTGAAAGATGGAAATTATGGGGCTATGTTTTGATGTCCAACATGTTATACTTAAAAGTAAATCTGATATAGAATTCATTTCTAACTGGAAACTTTTCTTAGATAATGGCTTAGTGTATGGATTTGTGCCACATCCCAAATATGGCTTATTATACATTTAGTTTATATTTTTACTTTACAAGCAATTAGAATATGTGATTCTATAGTTAAAATTAGATCATCTATAATTAGAATTACGTTGCCTATAATTCTAGCTACTATGTACATATCGTGTTAATCAGATACTCTTCGTTTAAAGTTCTTAGTTTAGTTTTAATTTAGTCTTACTCTTAGTTTTTCCTCGTTAGTCATAGCTTAGTCCTAGTTTAGTCTTAGTTTAGTCTTAGCAGAATCAAAAGAGGGGTTAGTTTAGAATCATTATGTAGACACAAGTGAACGAAGTCCAACTTCCCCTGAATTCTGGTAACTCCTAGCAGGTGCTAACTCTTAGTTGAGTATATTCCTGTCCGTAGGTCTGAGTAGCAATAAATCAGTTTAATTGGACTTTCATGAGTGGACCTGATCTTCCCTGCCTGACATTTGATGTGCTTGAGATAGCTAAAGAAACATTAATCTCCTTGACAATTCAGATCCTATGTTTACTTACATTTACTTTCTTAATTATATTTTACTTTTCTTTTGATATGTCTCTTATCTCTCTTGAATTGTTTTTAGTAATGCATTTAGTAAATAAAATGAAGTTAAAAGCATAAAGCCTTTGGGCTGTGTTTTGTTTTAAATGTAACTTTCCATTTATTCCATACAAACAACAATAATAGTAATAATAATAATGAGTATTGATCCAATAACTAGGGGAGGAACCAAAATTTAGAGCCACGACCCACATTTTGATGCAGAAAGTCTAAAAAAAAAATCACAGTATTACAGAGTTAATATTTAAGTCTGGCAAAGGCACATGAGGGTCCATACATAGTACAATTCAGAACCTTAATTAAAATAGTTGATTATAAGGATTAATTTAACAAGAGATCCCTGGCCAGACTGTTCCGTACAGCCCTTCCTGTATACTAATACTAATCCCTTAGTATTACTGCATCCTGTGACAATCTATTTTTCCCTCCATTTGTCATGCATTCAGATGAAAGATGCAATTAATGCCAATATGTAATTAAACTACTGAAAAATCCTTGAGATTATATTGTAACACTAAATTTAGCAATTTCCTCCAAATGCGAAATGTTATTCGTTTTACCTTAGGGATCTGAATCAAATATCTCCATTTATTCTGCCCAAGTCTTGTTAGCTATCCACATTTTACTGAATAACTATTTAATATTCTGGTTTATCATATTCAGAGCTTTAGAATCAAACCCATATGTTTACTTTTAACTGCAGTTTCCTAATAATGAACAGTGAGAAGTCAACTTGTTTTAATAAATCATACCTAATGCTAATCACAGTATAGATTCAAAAGTAATGCCAATGTGAAACAAAATGGAAACTTGATTTTAGATTTTCATGATTAGAATGACTTCGTTATTATAGAAATGGCTTGAAATGTTGTGAAATGTAAAACAAAAGGTTGAAGTATTTGTTTGTATTTCACTGCACAGAAAAAGTCAGAAATCACTATTTTTTCTCTCTGCATTTTCTCTCTCCTCTTAGTTTTCTAACTTTTGTTTTTTCTGCATTTTTATCTTATAATGAAACAATAATTAATAATGTAGTGTAGTGTAATGTAATGTAATGATATGATATATGATACGATATAATTAAAATATAATATAATATAATATAATATAATATAATATAATATAATATAATAATATAATAATATTTATATCCTATGTGCAAATATTAGTTCTTAAAAAAGAACCAATATTTTTTAATGTCCTGTCACACTAGGAATTAGAAAGTTAAGGACATTCATTCCTGTTGACCTTAGCTTTAAGTTATAAGATTGAAGTCTCATATATTGATTACTAAAGCAGACTGTTTCAACAAAATAGATTGGTCATTAGATTGCTTGTTTGATTGTTGGCTTTTGAAGAAACACTTCTTCAGTTTTGCCATGTTTCATTTAATCTGTTAACGTATAACCTAGCTTTTCTAAGGTTGAGAACTGCAAACTGCAAAACTGAAGACAATTGGGTACAATTTGGATAAGATCTCGCATGAGCCACAGCAAACAGAACATTCTAGAGAAAAATGGCCTCCACATGCAACATGGTGGACTTGTGTGAAGGAGGTAGGGGTGGTAGAAATCAGTAAACATGACTATTTCAAAAGTATTAAATACTGTGAAGTACGGCACAAAACTCAACAAACCAAGTATGTTTTTTATCTTTTTGCCATTAATGTTCATTTATATCACTACTTTATGTAACTATGGACAGCATGGATCACAGCTGGTAATTTTGAACAGTTTTAGATGCTTTGCTAATGACTAACATGCACAATCTTGTTACGTAAGCCATTTTACTTCGAACACCTGCCTTCAAAAAAAATCCAACATTAATGCAGAATATGTGAAATGGGGAACCAGAAGTAATGTTTTTCTCTGCTTTATACTATATTTTAGGTCTTACATACTTCTTTGAAAAATCTTGTAACAATATATTGCATATAATATTATAATACTGTAAGCCGGACCCTGAGAGCAATGCCAAAGAAGAAATCATATAAATATATCTATAAATAAATGCTGGATATATTTATTTATTTTTTGTAAAGGATACAGGTGAAAATATTCTGTTAAAACATATCAGCAAGGTGATTTTAAAAATTTAACATTTTTCACCTATTATTATTATTATTTGCCAATATGCCTTCAGTGTAATTTGGATGAAGAATATGTGGATTTAAATAGCTCTCTCCCAGTGTGGTGATAAAGTTAGAACAAGAGAGAGGAAGAGAGAGAGAGTGGGAGAGAAAACAAAGAAAGAAAAAGGTACAGCAAGAGTAAGAGAAAGCAGAGAGAGAGAGAGAGAGAGAGGTCTAATTGAACATAGAAGTCATGAAGAATGGAAGACTTCTAGAAAGTGATTGAGCTACCATATCTCAGTGGAAGAGAACCACTGACCACAAGATGGCAGCAAATAGATACTAAAATGATACTTCTCTACTGCCACCTAGTGCCTGAGTGTTTGCAACCAAAATATGGTAGCTCTACTAACGGTTGATCTCCATTTGCATTGAAATACGCCAGCTTCCTCCTTCAAATCCAGACCATTCTGCCCACCTGTGATTTCATAGTAAGGAGGGGTTTTTCCTCCGGAGACTCCTCCCTCGGTATCTCCTTCATCACCATGGCAACAGCCTTATCTGCCGCCCTAGAGCCTTTCCCCTATAATAGTGAAATCAACAATGACTTGTGTCAGGAGGAAACGTATGACATTCCTGTTACAGATGTAGAAATAGCTTTAATATGACATTATTATCATCAATTTCAATTCCCTTCCTCATCTCCTCCCACCAAACAAACACACACAAAGCAAGAAGTTAAACTAACATGTAAAATAGTGGAAGCAACTTGTTGGTGCTGGAAACAAAAATGAAAATTTAAAAGCAGTTAAGCAATCATACAGGTATTGGCACCGCTGTTAACAATAAGATGTAATATGTATTTATATAGATGCAAGGTGTCCAATCCAACATACTCGATCACTTTCCAAGAGATAATCGTTTGTTTCAATCCCGTTTCAATTTTCCATCAATGATACAATGGATTATTTAAAGCAATTTTTCATGGTGTCTAACCAGAAATCTTGGAGCTACCTTTGGTGGGACATGTCCTTAATGTGGCCTCCAGAATTTGCTGCTCAATTGTCATTTTCCTGGGTCAGTAAGAGGATAGGTTTAAATCCATTGGGATGATTGAATTAAGTTCAGGTTAAAATTATATTATATTTAAGATTTTCCCTGGCCAAGTCATTTTAGAAGCACATCTTATAGCACACCAAAGTCCATAGGAAATTCCCCACCCCTTAAAAATAGCCAAATCCTCCTATATTTTGTTTCCCAGTGGGCTGCAGTTTCATCATTTCATTTATACAATATTCGGGATGAATATTTGGACCACTTACTGCCGTGGGTTAAATTATAAATCAGCCTCCAGTCTGAATCTCAGAGATTCTTTTTCTCCGTAAAAAGATAATTTTGATCTATTTAAGATGGTTGTGGAGGTCAAGAAGGCCTATCTCTCCAAGTTGCAGTGAGACACACAAAGTAATGTACAAGTAGTCCTCAACTTACGACCACAATTGAGCCCAACATTCCTGCTAAGTGAGACACTTGTTAAATGAGTTTTGCCCCATTTTATGACTTTTTTGGGGGCTACCGTTGGTAAGTGAACCACTGCAGTTATTAAGCTAGTAAGATGGTTGTTAAGTGAATCTGGCTTCCCCACTGACTTTGCTTGTCACAACACTGCAACCGTCATAAATGTGAGTCAGTTGCCAAGCATCTGAATTTTGATCAAGTGACTCTGGGGATGCTGCAACGGTCATAAGTGTGAAAATGGTCATATAAGTCATTTTTCTCAGTGCCATTGTAATTTTGAATGGTCATTAAATGAACTATTGTAAGCCGAGGATTACCTGTATATGACTATTTCAAAACATTGTGCTTAATGAGGAGGGTTTGCTAGGTTAACAAGATGCCAGATCAAAGTTAAAGTTGTAGGATTGGACACCATGTGTGGTATTGATTGAAGAAGAATTTAAATCACTATGAACATTTTTTTCCCCATTCTTATTTGCAAATACCATCATGCTGAACACTTTCATTGTTGTTAGTCCTGGAAAGACTTCAAAGAATCTGCATCAATGCATCATTAACACAGTCATATAAATTTATCAGGTTGCTGCTTTCTTCCATTGTGTCTTTTGTCGTCTTTTCTTAGGAGACCAGAAATCGGGATATAATACAGTTCATTTCCCATCACCTGTCATGTAATGAAAGCTCCAGTTGGCCAATTATCTTAAGATAATTTTAACCATCAACTGCATGGCACAGTTAGCTAAAAAAGTATCTTAATCTCCTACTGGGGCAGAAGCTACCCATTGGCATATGGCAGTATTTTCCTCTGAAATTGAATTGTTAAAAAAAAAAGAAAGAAGAAGAAGTATGATGATTACTAGAACATCAAGAGTGGCATGCCAATATTTGCAAAAAATAAAATTAAATAAAAGAGAGAGAGAGAAAGAGAGATTAATTTAATTCTCTCTAGAGCAGCAGTCCCCAATATTTGTAGCTTGGCCAGGGAGGGGGAAGTGGAGGGGAACCAGACCGTGTGAGTGAGCAAGTTGAGCTGCACGCGTGTGCATTCCAGCCCGCCACTCACACGGCCTGGTTTTGAATAGGCCATGGCCTGGTAGTAGGCCGCAGCCTGGGGTTTGGGGACCCCTGCTCTAGAGAATGCAATGACTCCCTTCTTAAAACACAATAACAAAACGCAGATACAATATGTGTTGCCTCAGGAGACAAAGCAATTCTAAAATTCATTTTTTTTTAAAAAAAAGTAAAGATGGAGAAAGGAACCAAGGAACTTCTCTGGGAAAAACCATATTGATGACAGCAAAAACTTTCTTCAAGCTGGGTTTTGATATCTAATGCCAGTGGTGACCCACCGTATTCAGATGCACCGCATGACTATAATAAAAATCTTCGTTTTTAAACAATCATCTTGCATGTTTTAAGCTAATGCTCCCCGTTGTAAACCATTTTAGTTCAATATCGCAGAATTTCAATTCTATCTTTCTTGCTTACAACAGAAAAGAGAGGTCATGTATCAATCAAACACTATTACAACTTTTAAATTCCTTCTGATGCAATTGTAAAACTGTGTAGGTCTCCGAAGTTTCTTTGAATGTACAGTCATGGTCAAAATTGTGGAAACCTTTTGGGAGAAGTGTATTTTTGAGGTTTGATAGCTAATAACACCACTTTTTTTTTTGGGGAGTTTCATATTCCACTGCTGGAATGGCCTGGGAATAGCCCAGACCTTAACCCAATTGAAAATCTATGGAGCCGACTAAAGAAACTTGTTAGTCAGAAGCAACCCAGCAATAAAACCCAATTAATAGAAGCCATCATTCAATCTTGGTTTCACATTATAACAGCTGCAGAACTAAAAGACTTGGTTCACTCCATGGGAAGATGTTGCAAGGCCGTAATTTATGCTAAAGGTTACCCAACTAAGTATTAACTGACATGGTGATCATTTTTGTATATCTCATTTTTTCTATGGTGATTATTTTTGTATAACTCATTTGTTCTACGTGTTTCACTTTTTTTCTTTATACTATAACTGCTATTATAATAGCAAATCCTTCATAAATGTTATTGCATTACATTCTTGATTAAATTATCTTTCCATTGATATATAATTTTATGGTACTACTCCCCCCCCCCCAAAAAAAGTGGTGTTATTAGCTAGTTTTAGAAAATATACTTTCCCCAAAAGGTTCCCACAATTTTGGCCACTACTGTATAATTGTGCTGTGTATATGTGATGAAGTCCTGTGCAGTAATGTGACAACGTTGATTAGATGTCCTCCTGATTGATGATATAATGCAATTATGATCCCCTAATGTCAGGTCAAATCCGACTGCAGGTAGTCCTCAACTTATGACCACAACTGCCATGAATACATGCCAGTTCTCAACCGCCTGGATTTTGATCATGTGACTGTGTAGATGCTGTGACAGTTGTAAATGCGAGGACACAGGTTGCAGGTTACCTTTTGTGGTAACTCTGAATAGTTACTAAATGAATGGTTGTAAGTCAAAGACTACCTGAAGTCAACAGGAGCAAAAGATTACGATAATAGCTTAGCTATGCTAAGTATTGACTATTATTCTTGAGTTATCCTTTGCATGGAGATGTTGTGGCCCGTCAGCGGCCTGTGCAGATTGTAGCTGATTCCGACAACGAGGAGGCTGGTGTGGTGCTGCATCAGCAGCCGTTGCAGCTGGCACTCGAGTTGGACAGTGAGGAGGCTGGAGAAGATGTGGTGCCAGAGGCAGGGATTCAGCCAGGGCCTTCAGAACCTCCAGAAGCTCCCTTAAGTGAAGAGGACGAAGAGGAGGAGCCTCTTCTCAATGCATGGGTGCGCAGAGCTGCCAAAAGGCAGGAGTGGCTCCTCAGGAGGAGGTCTCCTCGAGAGTAAGGCTTGGGGCTAATTGGCCACTCCCTTAGCCTATTTAAGAAGGAACATCGCTTGCAACAAGCTGTAGAGAACAACTTTAGTTCACTTGCCTTCGCGTCTGCAAAATTACTTCTGGGCTTTTTGCCAACTCTAGTAAGATTGTGATTACCTTATCTTAGAATTCTGGTAGGCTGTTAAGACAGTTCATTAACAGCCTTTGAATGATAAAGACTAAGTTATTTGAGTAAAATAAGCTTTGTATAGAGTTTGTGTGTGCTGCATTCTTTGGGGTCCGTAGCTGGAGCAGAACAGGAGACAGCAATATCCACCTCAGTGAGTTGAATTATAACTATCCTTCTATCCTCCTGATAGGGCTATAATGGGTTCTTTGATATCAACTATCAATAAAGGAGGATATTTGTTGCTCAGGGTTGAAATGAGGGGTCCTTGGTGCTTTCTGAGCTTGGCTGTTTTCTTGCAGATGTTTCATGACCAAATTAGGTAATATCATCAGTACAGTTGAAACATCTGCAGGAAAACAGCCAAGCTCAGAGAGCCCTAAGGACGTCAACTATATATTAAAAATTGCCATATGTGTGTGTGTGTGTGTGTGTGTGTATAATCCTTGATTATAATCCTTGATATGCACAAACATATAGCTACTTAATCATAGCATGAATGCCATGAGTAAGACTAATGGTACAAGGCCTCTATTTGCTAGAACTTCACAGAACCATTTTTTCCTTGAGTAAATTTTTAGGCATCTTCAAATAATTTCTGCTATACTGAAATGATTACATTGGGTACTAATTTAGACATGGACACTTTCCTGTTCAGCAAGAATGTTGGCAAAGGGTATTCAGAAAGGAACTTGAAGAGTGTCTACTCTTCATCAGCTCTCTTTTCAACATCTCTGTTGCTGAAAAGGAAGGTAAATATCCACACAGGTCTTCACGGGATTACGAATTTGGGAAATTTGCTGATGTCTGGCTCCCTTATTGTGCAAGAAACTTGGGTGGAGAAATGTGAGATGTGGACAGGCAGTAGCAGTCTAGAACTAAGGTTACAAAACAAACAAAATGAATTTGGATGGCAAGAACTCTTCCATAAAGGCAACACACAAATTCCCTTAATGTGACTTATAGTGCACTATACAAGGAATGGAAGTATTCTGGCACACGGTATAGTTTTATATACATTTTTTTTGTTGTTAGTTGTGAAGTCGTGTCTGACCCACCACGACCCCATGGATAACATTCCTCCAGGCCTTCCTGTCCTCTACCATCCTCTGGAGTCCATTTAAGCTCACGCCTACTGCTTCAGTGACTCCATCCAGCCACCTCGTTCTCTGTCGTCCCGTTCTTCTTTTGCCCTCCATCGTTCCCAGCATTAGGCTCTTCTCCAGTGAGTCCTTCCTTCTCATTAGGTGGCCAAAGTATTTGATATATACGTTTTAGGTTCTGCTTATTGCCATTATTTCATCTGCTTATTTTTGTAAGTAGGAATTATGATGTAGAATGTAATTGGAAATGAAATCATGGAAAGCCACAAATGTGGCACCTGTATCTTTATTAGCGACATCTACATATCAGATTTTAAGGCAATGTTGTTTCATTCCATCCAAGTCAAGCTGAGTCTGCTTGACAGTATAAAATAGCAATAAAATTTTGTTTGCTGTTTATAAAGTGCCATCAAGGAACCACAGTTCTGAATAACACTGGCATCCGACTTAACATTTTGAAATAAGATACAAGAATCTCCAGTCATGTCCAAAGCATGCTCATATAAAATACATCAAATCTAAGCATGCTCCTTCCCTTTGCACACTTCTGTTATGCCCAAACTGCAAAATGCACAGTATTGTGAATTATAATCGGGATGTGGTATTTTATCCGATGAAAAGCACATTCTGCTTGCTAAGCGTTAACAAAAAATTATCTGGCCAAATGTGCAGAGTTTTATGTATGATTCACTCTGTGGCAGTATCCTTTGATGCGATATATATATTTATATACATGGGGCTATTGTTGCACTAGCGGTAAATAACATGCGGTTTTGGCAAAAGAGCGCACGCCTTTCGTGCTGAAGGTTGGAATAAAAGCAAGTTTCGTCAGTCGGAAAAGATGCATTAGAAAACATGCGATGTTTTTGAAATGTCCGGAACAGGAGGAGAAAAAAACCCACCACTGCAAAGATCAGCTTGCATTTTTGAAGCCACAGCCACTTTTTCTTCAAGGTCTCACCTACTGCCTGAAAACAGTCATGATACTCATATTAGTGCTTGTTAATCGGTCAATCAATCAATCAATCAATCATCATCATTAATCCTGGATGGCTGTAATCATCATCATACCATAACATTCTATCTTTTGTTCCACAAGGATAATCCACCACTCCTGTTATTTCTGCTGTAGAAGACTACAAAATCCTCACAGAAAGTGTGTTGGATAGTGAAAAGGCTGGAAAAATAGGGTGCTACGACACAGAACCATAGTCAGCTTCAAACATACTCCTTTCCTGGCTGAAAACAGTCATGATGCTCATATTAGTGCTTGTGAGTCAATCAATCAATCGATCAATCAATCATCATCATTAATCCATTGGGTGGCTGTAATAACACCACAACATTCCATTTCCCCCACCCCCCGCCCCACCCCCAACGATGATCCACAATTCCTGTGATTTTTTTGCTGTAGAACACTGCAGAAGATGTATCGGGGAAAGGGCTGGAAAAACAGGATACTACAACACAGAACATAGTCAGCTTCAAACATTCCCCCGGTCTCTTCATGGAACAGCAGATCAGGGGTGGGCTGCTGGGGGTTCGCAGGGGTTTGGGAGAACCTCTAGCTAAGATTCTGTGCGGTTCCCAAATCCCATTCCTGGCTGGCCCCTCCCCTCCCAGGAGTCCCCACACGGCCTGTTTTGAATGCAGGTAAATGCAGGGCACGTGTGGAGGCTTGGGGAGGGCGAAAAAAAAGGCCTACTGGAAGTTCGGGAAGGGCCCATTTCTGGCCTCCAGAGAGCTTCTGGAACACGGGGGGGGCAGTTTTCACCCTCCTGGAGGCTTCAGCAAAGCCTCCAGAGCCTGGGGAGGGCAAAAATGCCCCCTCCCGCTCTGGGGAGCAGGAGGCTGACTCGGCCACACCCACCATGGCAACCAGGCAGAGAACCCCTCGCTAAATTTTTTGAAGCCCATGCAGATCAAAAAGATCTGAGAATGGCAATCGAAATTTTGGAGTGATTAATGTCTGCAATTAATGGCAGCAGGTGCAAGTTCTAGAAAATAAAGTAGTTTCCCACATAACACATAATTAATTAAGGGAATTTGCTACAAAGAGTCTTAGGACTCTCATATATTCTGTTTTTATTACAGTGAAATTCACCGAGATTCTTTGGCAAGACTGTTGTGTTTAAGATGTGTCTTTAGAAGGCTGTTACGGTTTTTATTAGGACTGGGAGAAACTGTATTTTAACCAAACAGTCATGGAATATTTATTGTATCTCAAACAAACAAAAAATGTTTTTGTGAAAACGGGTTTTCTATCATTTTTTTTGTACCATTTTTTTTTTAGTGATTCTTCAATAGATGTAGCTGGGAGTCAGTCATAAGAAAATCAACCAGACATACTTTAAGTTTTACATGAAATGCATAATAAAAAAAGAAGAACAATATGATAGAAATATGCTTTCCCCTGTACACAAAATCTGAAAATGGGAAAATATAGTACGTCAGGTGACCTAAGTAATTTCTATAAAAGTCTCTATGTTAAATTGTGTGAATTGGGGGATGGTTGTCTGAGGAAGTGTGAGAATAGCCTTAGAGCAGGGATGTCAAATAGGCGGCCTGCAGGCTGGATGCGTCACGCACAGGCCACGCCCACCTCAGCTCCGCAAAGGAAAAAAAACGTCACAATATGTCACATGACACGAACAAGTTTGACACCCGTGCCTTAGAGGAAACTGCTCTGGTCTATTTTGGAAAGCACCTGAAAAACATATGAGCTTCTTTAAATAAACTTTGCTGATACAGCTTATGTCCATTAACAAGATGAGGATATTTTGGTAACTGCTTTGTTTTACAGATAATATGCGTTTCCTCTGTAATCAACTTGTACTTCCTTACTGATGTAACTAATTTATATATATATAAGCGAAATCCACTCACTCATCACAAAATCTCCAGAACGGTAAAGCCTACAAACTTGAAATTTGGCACTCCTCTTGGCTTCTAGGTGCTCGCTAAGAAATGATTTTTTGAAATGACCATCAGATCATTAGTATTTCATATACAGTATATTCATATACAGTATATTAACATGCTCTGATGCTAAGGAGTTAGACGTTCTATGCCCCCTCCCTGCCTGAAAAGTTCCAACTGCCACTTGCCTCACATTCCGTTACCTCAGTTCAAACTGGCAGACGTTCCACTCCTTCACTCAGGAGCAATCTGGGGCTCCTTATAGTACTAAACGTCCCTACTTCACCAAAATGTCTACACCTTCCACCTATGGAACTGCTTCAAGACTCAAGGCAGTGGGAGAGATATTCCCTTATGAGTTTCAATCACCGACCACCACTGAGCCAACAGTGTCAGTTTTGGAAGACAATTTTTTTTTCCTTCTTAACTGCCACATATTTTAGCTGGGGAAGTTGGGAGGGGGTTGTTGTTGAAGCGGTAGAAAGTTAGTCATAACAACATTCAGTATTCAAGGACTTTTGCCTGCGTCTGATGGAGACTGCCTGAAGATTGTATCCAGTTGAGTGTGAAGAGTTGATTGGACAATGTGATGAACTTGTGGGTGTGGGACAGGGCTGTGAACTGTCAGTTGGGTGTGGAAAACCTGGAAGCTTTCAGATTCGGGTTTTCCCAGATGTGCCAACATGACATCTCTAATAAATTGGAACTTTGAGGAACCTCAGGCCTCAGAGCTTTATTTCGTTGGAGATGTTCCTTGGAACCCTGACAAACAGATTGTGAACCGAATTTCTCCTGCATAGTGTCCCAGCCCCAACTCACTTCTTACACTGACCTCCTCAGTTCAGACGAATCTGTTCCTTCTACTGTAACACCAGTTAAAGGGAAAAGAGGAAAAAAATGCAGGAAAAAATTTACAGATGCGATTAGGAAAACACAAGTAAGGGAAGCTGCAAAAAAGCATTGTCAAAGTCATCCCGAAGTCAATAGAGAGGCTGTAAAAATGTATGCATCTAATAACCCTTATATTAATCAGCCAGCTACAGCTAAATACAATGAAAAGATATCACAAACCAGATCAATGCCTTGGGCTAATTAGTATTTGTCTGGTGTTAAATATGAACTTCAGATTGATTACTCCAGGGAAAAGGTTGTTGATCTCAAACCTTGGTTACTCTGTGCCTGGTGCCATGCCCTGAAGTGGCAGGATGAGACTCCCAGGATGTGCTGCAGCTGTAGTAAAATCCAGCTCTCTCCCCTTCAGCCCTCCTCTGAACCCTTACACAGCCTTCTCACCCACCAGCATCCAATGGCAAAGCACTTTCTTTCTGCTGCCCAGAAGTACAACGGATGCTTCCAAATGACGTCTTTTGGAGCCAGAGAAGTGAAGGAGGGAAATTTTATGCCAACATTCAAAATGCAGGGGCAGGTCTACCACAGGATAGGGAGCATCAGGGCAGGGCCTCAGCAGCAGCCTTCATCTCTCTAGATATACTTTGTTGGTGATGATGACAATGAGAGGGACATCCGTTGTTGAATCTACCCAGATGTTAACTCAGAATTGGTTAGCCAACTGCAGAAGTTGCTGCGTGAACACAAGTATGTTCTGGAACTTAAGGCTGTTGTTAATTCTGTTCCTAAGGGCCACAAGGACTTCTAAGTGGTGATTAATGCTGATAGGAAGCCTTCTGGAGAGCACCGAGAGTCATTTCAAAGCCCTCACAACTACAGAAGTGGCTGTTCTCATTGTCAGGTAGGATTTTGAGAAGAGAGATATCATTCTCCACAGCAGGCAACAGGTTGTTATGAATCGCCACCCGATCACATGGTTTCGTAGCGAAGCATGGGTATCCAGTTAGTAAAATATAAATGCTAACTGAACCATTGGACGTGGTCCTTTTCCAGCCTTATGGGAGGACCCACCTTTGTTAGGATCCAAAATAAACGTGTTACTCCGAAAGATTCGGAGTCTGCCTTTTTTTCCATACTGGGCCTGACCTAGACAGTGTGCAAGACAATACGAAGCTGAAATATGGCTAGTCCTCGACTTACAACAATTTGTTTAGTGACCGTTTGAAGATACAATGGCAAAAAAGTAACTTATGACAGTTTTTCACACTTATGACCACTGCAGCACGGTCACGTGATCAAAACTCATATGCTTGGCAACAGATATCATATTTATGATGGTTGAAGTGTCCTGGGGTCAGGTGATCACCTTTTGCGATCGTCTAACAAGCCAAGTCAAATCTGGAAGCCAGATTTATTTAACAACTGTTAACAACTGCAGTGATTCACTTAACAACTGTGGCAAGGAAAGTTGTAAAATGGGGCAAAACTCACTTAACGAATCCCCCTTAGCAACAGAAATTTGGGGCTCAATTGTGGCCATAAGTTGAGGACCCAGGGGTGAAATCCAGCAGGTTCTGACAGTTTCTGGAGAACTGGTAGCGGAAATTTTGAGCAGTTTGGAGAACCGGCAAATACCACCTCTGGCTGGCCCCAGAGTGGGGTGGGAATGGAGATTTTGCAATATCCTTCCCCTGCCATGCCTACCAAGCCACGCCCACCAAGCCATGCCACGCCACGCCCACCAAGCCATGCCCACAGAACCGGTAATAAAAAAATTTGGATTTCACCACTGGGATTACCTTATATTTAGCAAATCAGTTTAAAAACGTGTCCCTTTTCAATGCTTTTCATCTGCCCTGAACTTCTGAAGCTGGTTTGTAAAAAAGTGTGCGCGCTATAAAATATTCAAAAATTGCCTATTTTAATAACGTTTTCCAGCAAAAGCCCAGGGGAGAGGGGACCGACTTCTACAACCAAGATGTAAATATTATTATAAGTATGGCTCAGAACGAAAGCTGTAATATACCTTTTCTATGATCTTAACTCACTTTGCTTAAAATAACTAACTTAATGTGCCGTGCTAAAATTATTATTTGCCAGGCTCTGGAACAATATGATGATGGGCCTTTGGAATTTCCCCACTTTTAAACCCACTCAAAAGACACTTTGTGGTAGCAATAAACTGACATCTTTTCTTGCC